CTTTGGACGCAAAACAGACGAACAAGGCCATGTACGACTTGTACGGTGGCTTACCACGGATACGATATGTTGTGCTGCCTTCAGCACAAAAATCAACGCCACAAATATTGAACGGGCGGAGAGCTCGAAGTCTATCTGCTGGCAAGTTACCCATAATTTGCGTCAAGAGTTACGGCTTGTAGCGAAAGCAACGCATGCACGACCGAACTGTTCGTCGGCAGACTTCTTGAGCATTAACTAGCCATATTTTTTCGCGCAGACGACTTACGAGAGCTCGTGGGCCAGCGTGACAGTTCGTAACGTGCAGGTATGACACATAGGAGCTGACGAATTGTGAGCTTTTAGACAGCAACGGGAACTTGGCTTCGTACGGGATAGGAGCATTCAATAACCGACCCGTTGTTCGTCAACTCGTAGCAATGTCGAGGAGCACCAATCTAATTTATTTTCCTGAAGATAAGGGTTTAATTTTTGAATATTCGTTGCTACCGGTTTATTTTTCCTAATTTTACTTATGTCGTCCCTGATTTCGTGAAATTGAACAACTTCGACAATTGTATCTAAAGCGAAATCCAGTTCTCTTGGCGAAATACTTTTCTCAAAGGGCTTCGACACCTTTCTGAAACTTTGAATAAAACGAAAAACCCAAACGAACACTCTCAGAAGCTTCAGGTGCGACGAAAAGGACTCTATTTTCTGAAGCACATAATTTGGCTCTGGGCTGACTACGAGAGCTATTGCCGATTTGCGTAGCTCCATCGACATTACATCAGCCGGCAGTTCGAAATGTTTATTTACAGGCCAATTATTTTCTGAGTCTAGCAAGAACGAAGGCCCACCGAACCAAATGGACGTTGTAAGCTCCTCTACGTCACATCCTCGGGACACTATGTCTGCTGGGTTGATATGTTCCTATTTCTTTGCCTTTTTGATTTTCTAATAGATAATATGCTGCACCTACTTTCTTATAATATTTAACGAATTTCAAATCAAGAACAAAAAAACTATCAAAATCTTACATCCCCCTCCTTGTGAAGCACACTGGTATTCACTATCAAATCGTAACTGGATCAGTTTAGATACCGGTCTGCGAATAGTTCTTACATCGACTTGGCGTACTTGTCCTTCCTTCGCTGGATATAGTTTAGTAATACGCCCTCTTTTCTATGTAATATGTGGTAAGGCAAGATCTGCAACAAGAACTACGTCGTCAAGTTAATTGGTTTTGGTGGATGTGTGCCACTTCTGTCGAAAATTTAGCTGAGGCAAATATTCTGTTATCCAACGTTTCCAAATTCTGTTCATCTTGCGCATGTGTGAGAGGAATCTCCGTAGGTGGTCGTGAATTCAGAATGTTCTCCGCATCAATTAATGCAGAACGAAGAGTTTCAACGCGTTATGTGACGTCTCGGAGAGTTTTGTTTAATACTTTCTTAACTATACCGATAAGACGTTCCCAACAACCACCAGCATTTGATTCTCTTTTGAGATGTCTCATTAATCAGAGCGTCAAAATCGAATAAGTCATTGTGGTCGTTCAACTCCCTTTTGGCAACAATAAAATTGGTTCCATTTTCGCTTCTGATTACTTCTGGGGTTTATAATGTTATCAAGCAGGTGAAAAAAATTGGTTTCCAGAACTTTTGACTACATTGATTTGTGATAACGACTGAATTTTGGCGGTCGTATGACAAATTCCGACAAGTAACGATCTTTAGGTTACTGAATAGGTGGAGAACGGTTGTACTGAAAGAAAAGTTGCCTCATCAATTCTGCCAGAAAGGTGTTTCAGAACATCTGTTGATTGTTGTATGGCAGCGTCAGCCGTGTTAAAGGAGGACGGTATCCATCTCCACTGTACGGCATTTGTAGTGGCTAAAATTTCAGAGATGCGATGTCCTACGAACGGCTTAAGCTTGCGAGAATTCGAATGAATCTTTGAGTCGCTCCAGAAGAGCGTCTTGTGTTTTTCTTTTAATAAAGTATTGAAAAGAACACCAAGAATGGCTGCTTGAAGTTCTAGTCTGGGAATAGAAAGAATTTAATTTCGGTTAATTTATCAGAAGATATTCGAAGGTATCCTACATCTGCGAATGCGGATTCGCAGGCATCTACTACAATATGAAGTTTAGTGTTACTGCTGACAATTTAAAGAGTCTCCGTTTCTCCAATCAAAACGTTGAACAGATTGATCTTCTGGACGAACTTTATTTATTTATTTGGACAAACATCTCCCGGATGTCTGCAGCTACTCCGATTTTGTTCTGCCAAAATTGTACGGACACAAGTGACTAAGCAAGAATTAAAAGAAATTTTAACGATTTTGGCTGCTGCAACAAATACAATACGGAGTTTGCCCGGTTTGTGAACTGTTTTTTGTGGTAAATAACAAACGTGTTGATTATGAGTAGACATTTCTTAATTCGTAAGCCTTTTGGCATAGACTTTTCAATATATTTTATCATCTCCTGTTTATACTTTTTAGCGAACTCTTGATTTCTTTGCATTTTTTTCTATACTTACCAGTCATTTGTCTGCCATTCTAAAATTTTCTGCCAGCATAACATTTTCATTCCATAATAACCCAATTTTAAATTTATCTTGCATTTAATGTGTTGTTTCGCCCATTATATTCTTTGCTCTAGTGTTATCCACAGACTCTAGAGGAATAGTTCAGAAACGCCATAATCTTCAGCTGCAAAATATTCTTAGGCGAATTTGTAGAACTCATTATGAAAGAGTATTGAGTTACTATAAGAGTCAATCTAATATTTCTCTTATGGCTACTGTCTGAGACCGATCTAACTCAATAATAATTTTTGATAGTACTAGATGTAGATTATATAAGCCGATTAAAATTACTGGCCTGGCGTTTATATCGGGAAATATTGTAGATGTCTATGTTGATTTTTTGAAAACGATTGTATTGGTAGGCCTAAGTTTTAATTGTCTGTACACCCTTTACATCATACTGGAAAGCAGTACAATGCCACTAATTTCCAGGCGAACTCTCTTAGACATTTCAGTACTCGTCTTATTGTCATACCACTGAAGGATGAGCGTTTTCAATACTAGTTTTTCAGCGACTTGCAATTCAACTAGGGCTATGACGCTTCCTTCGTCGAACATGGCAAAAGTCTCAAACTTACGCAGTGGTCCATGTAGGATCACGGGGACAATCTTGAACAGGTAATTATTTATATTTGTCTTCTCACCTGTACTGCAATCTTCTGGTTGGATTGCGGGTTGTGTCCTTTGATGTGTCGCTATAAACACTGGTTTTGTTGCTTTCTGATTTGATATTTTAAGAGATGCGTCGATTTATACCTTTGGCAGTGGTGCACAGTCATTTAGAAAATTCTATAAAAGGCATTTCGGTTTTAGTTGTGTCGACCCATTGTAACCATTCTACTTGTAAATTGGTTGGAAACTTAGCAATAAGTTCTTTCAACAAAATCTTATTATATAGGTGTTGTTACCAGTTCGATGACGTCAGATAATTGACTACTCTGCGTACATTTGTAGTAAATGAAACAATCTGTTCTAACTTTGTAAAATATATCTTAGGCAAATCGTTGATCTTGGCCATTTGGGTTCTAATTAATAACTGCTGCTACACCGCCCTTCGCCAATGAGGGATAATCCTGATTACATTAACCTTGAGAACACTGATCTTCCCAGAGATCTTACATTCTCCCGAACTCGCGTATGCCGGAGCGAGCGAATGCGTAGCTGATGCGCACTTGACTTGGATGCCTCGAATTAGAAGATACCTCTGACCCTTTTCGCGATTTCAAACCAAGAGGCTGGATGTTTGTTCGGTGTTAGACCGCTTTTCGTCTTCCTTCCTTTTTCCACGCATTTGGTATTTTCAGTATTATTCCCCGTTCCTGTATTTTCCTGTTTTAGTATGTTCTGCGTCTAGGCTAAATATCAGCTGGCATTTCCACTTGAGCTCTGAACTTAACTAAGAACTGATTTTTTCCACTTAATATTTATTATACATCATAAGATGTCCCTTAAAGCGCGTTCGTCATAAGTTGTACCTGCTCATGTATTTGATCAAACACAGTGCGAGCTCAGAACTAACCCAAGTCTTAGAAGATTGCTATACCTATACAGTGGTATACCAGAACAAACGCGGTATGGCAGCTGTGACGACAGACACTATATGCCTGAATTTCTTGCGTGTCACTTGTACAACGTCAGAGTACGGAAGTATTTAAACAACGACGGCGGTGTCTATATACTTGTTCAACGGCAAAAACTAGAAGTACAAAGGTGGCGTGGCTGCGTTTAATTTCTTTCGTCAAGTCTTTTCTCTCGACAGAGAGTGTGAAGCTATACGATGTCGTTATCCGATTTTAATAGAATTAAAAGCGTAATTCTGAACCGTCAAATTTTTAATAAACCAAAAATAATTTTTAAAACAATTACAAAATAAGGAAATGAATTTTTTTTTAAATTTTTATTGTTCCCGTGGGAGCTTTATATTATAGTCCTCCGATTTTGATAAAATTTAAACCTTAATTCTAAAATATTTAACGAAGAACTAAATAATAAATTAAAAAACAGCAGTTATAATTTTTTTGTATTTATTTTTCCGGTTGTTCCTATGGGAGCTATATGCTATAGTCGTTCAATCCGGCTCGTTTCGACTTATGTGCCTGCAATAGAAAGAACACTTTCGGGAAAGTTTCATACAGATAGCTTTAAAACTGAGAGACTAGTTTGCGTAGAAACGGACGGGCAGATGGACGCACTGACAAACGGACAAGGCTAGATCGACTATCCTAGTGATGCTGATCAAGTGTCTCCTTCAATGCGTTGCAAACTTTTAATACCCTCTGCAAGGGTATAAAAACCGGCGTCACGTCATCGTCTCGAAATCTGCCGGCAGAGAAAATGGTGTCCTTATTTTTTTTATTAATCTGTGCTTTTTGACAACTCTGATCTATCGTTGACCGAAAGAATGTGAAATAAAATTGCACATACATATGTATATTTTATAATTATCATTTATTCTGCGTTAAGCTTTACAATTAAAATGGAATTCAAAGTTTCTGCACTTAAAAAACTCCGACGTTTGCTTAAAATATATTGAAGCGCCATAGAGTAGGAAATATGTAGAGACACCATTTGGTCTGCAAGCGCCCCTGCCCAGTCTCTGCTGAGAACCATGTTCGCTCTACTGAGCGGCAGAGCAAATGGTGTCTCTATATAGTTTTTACTCTATGCTAATAAGAGCGAACAGTTCAGCCATATAGTAAGAAATTAATAGACATCATATGCTCTGCACGATCCTCTGCTTAAAGCCATTTTCGAAGTTAAGTTAGCTTTTTCACACCACTTATCAGTTTTTGGTTCAAACTTGTAATTCGGTACCTCGGTTGCAACTGCACTGCTCGCACCGGCCCTTAAAAATGAGCAGTTCAGCTGCAGAAATGCACCGCGAAGCTAAGTACAAGTTCGAATTAAACCCTGAGAAAATTAAATTTTGCCTTTTTTAATCTACGTGGCATCACTGTCGTCTCTATAAAATTTCTTACCCTATTAAAGCGCTGAAAATGCCCTTTCATTTAATCTTAACGCACTGAATTCACAAAGGCAAGGGTAAAATCTCGCTCACAAGCAAGAGCAGACGACAAAAACGCCTACAAGTGCAAAAGACTTTTAATTTTAATTTGGTTGAGCACAGACCGATTGTTATCTCTGACTCTTTGCGCAGTCGGTCCGTAATTAAGTTATTTTTAGACCTCAAAAAACGATAAACTGTTACCTGCGAGCACTGTTTTTTTTTGCCGTAGTAAAAAATTCGTGTAAAAACTTTACTTAATTTTTAAAATTGTGTGCCGATCATGAAGTATTTCAAAAACAAAAATCAGCTGGCTTATTATTAAGGTTAAAAAGTGATTTAAAGTTCTTCCTTGCCGGATTTAGATTTATCACAAAGTATACTTTCGTTAAATTTAATTTTTGATGTTACAATTCTAACTCTCAAATAAATTATCTTGTTACAAATTTGATATACAAAGTTTACGTGGACAAATAAATTAGTTCAAATGGCAGATTACTTTGAAAATGTAATAAAGGATAGTTTGAAATAAAATCACTTCCATGTACAAAATTTGGGAGTTCTTAAAACCAGCAAATACGCTAGTGGTTTAAAATTAAATCTTTACCATGTAAAAATATATGATAAAGAGACCTGTGGATATTTCGGAATATAAGTGCATTAAATAATTTTATAACCTTAAATGTAAGATCAATTATTCTTGTGGAATTCCTCCATGCATAACTTGCAGCTCCAAGAACCCTCTGGTGGAGTAACTAGCGGTGGTGACAGGCAATACATATGGTATCCGCGGTCACAATCGTCGCAAAATAATAACTGGTCGTCATTATCAGAGGTCCCGCATATGGAGCAGTACTTGCATTCGATGCATTGCCAGCGATAGCGTTTAACTGATATTATCATGTTGGCTGTGAACTGCAAACACGATGGATGACCCGAGTGACCGCAGTCCGAGCACGACACAAGCTCCTCGGGCATGTTGGTTTTTTTGTTTTCCTGGTGATCGCCCAGACAAAAGTCACAGTAGGGAGACGGTTGAGCTATGTCCCGATCAACGAGTGGTTTGACCTTAATCGGACCAACTCCCGTAGCAAACGCCATGGGAATTGTTGTTGCATGCACCGGCGAGGAGTTAGAGGCGTTGGGTGTTGCAACCAAACCTATGCTTATTCCAGCCATGGACGCTAGAGGCATTGAGTCATTGGAAGTTCCAGCATCGTTTGAAACCTTTTCGTAAGAAGTAGCTATAGGTGTTGCCACTATTTGTGTTGACTGCGAAGTGTCGTCATTGGTGGGAATGGGTGAAGCAGAGTTTGAGTGAGATGCATAGAGCCCTGTGGCGGCGGCAGCTGCTGCTGCTGCAGTGCTGGCTGCGTGTGCAACGGCTGCAGCAGCTGCGGCGGCAGCTGCAGATGTATTTCCACCACCACGACGTTTTCGGTCTGTTTCTCCTTCAATAGCGTTTCTCCGACGATTGCCTAATATTTAAATAAAGCACAACTTAGACTTTTCCCAGCTTAATGAATTTAACTTACCACCACCTTTACGCCCACGTTTTGGAGTACCCTCAACGTTTGCAATTGTACGTCGAGGTCTTGAACCTTTTTTGCGTTTACCCCTGCTGGTGTATGACTCGTCAAAATCGTTATCTGAATCAAAATCATCCTCATAATCATCGCCATGATGATAATGAGATGTGTCCATTTCCTCGTGAAACCATTCCTTCTCGGCGTTTGCATGTGAGTCCTTACTGTCATTGCCTCCCGAGGCTCCCATGGAGTTGCCATCGGTAGCAGCAGTCGCTAGAAATATTAGATATAAGCAATAAAAATAACACATGTAATCAGGACTGTTTGATAGCTTGTAAGACTTACGCCATTATTTATTTTTTGTCCGCTTACATATGTGTTCATAAACATAGTAGAGTTGAACAAATTAATAAGGTTTTTATGTTTTGAATATTTCTACGCTACTGGTATAGGCATTCAAATCGGTCCTACTGTACAGCTCCAAAAGCGGCATTACTCTCTTTTGCTGATTTATTTCGCTTTATCGGTGATCTAAAATATATTACAAATAAGCCGCACTATCTCGTTCAACTTACCAAGGTTTGAATTGCCGATCATAAGTTCATCAACATAATCTATTATTGCGCCTTTATAAAAGCAGGGCTCGCTTGCTCACGCTGTGGAGTCTTTTTGTTGCAAAAACTCGTCTAGCTTCAGATGCCACATTCAACAAGATTGTTTGAGTCCGTACAAGAATTTTTTTAACTTCAAGACACGTTTATTGCGAAGCTTTAATCGTTTCATCGGATTAATCTAGACTTATTCAATTAGATCTCCCTTCAGGTATGCTATAGACACGTATTGTTGGAGGAATAGCTCGCTGGTTCTGCCATAATTATTGTAGTACATTAAGTCACTGGTGAAAATGCTGATAGTTGTTTACACCGTACTCTCGACCGCACCCTTTATAATTTAAACCACAAGTTATCAACGCAACGAAGGAGGCGTTTTCAACCCTATAAAATATATATTATTGATCAGCCATATTGGGAGGTGATCTTGTCATACCCGGCCGTCTGCCTCCCAATTTTAGAGCTAAAATTTTTTTAAAAGTACAACTATATCATATAGCTCCCATAGGAACAATCAGAAAATCAAGTTGCAATAAATTGGACGACGGCCACCACTCTTATGTTGTCGTTGGTCTTGAAAAGTGTGTATGTTGTGTTGACCTGCACACAACCATGTTTTTGTTGTATTTATCTCATCTTTAGTTTTTTTAATTATGTTTATCAAGTCGCAATTTTTTTCCCCGTAATCGCCTTCTGTAATGTAAATGGTTAAACATGTTTTTCGCGAATGGATCTGGGCTCATAGCCTGTCAGATTACTTGTAAGAGTCACGGCACAAAATTAGAAGAGTTATACAATTTTAAAAACAGAAGGGAATAGCTTTATTTTAACGGCTACATATATATGTAGCTTCTTGTATGCTTAATTTTTTGTACATAAAGCGCTTTAACAAAATTAATAGGCTTTATATATATTGTGCTGCAAAAAAAAAATCTGATACTATCGATTCTTTTGGTTTCGGGACAACATCAATTTCGTTTTATAACGATCGATGGAATTTATTTGCGCACTCAGCGCTTGTATTTAAATCACTAGTTGTAGGGCGAGAGCGGGAGCCAATAAAGCTTTCGTCTGTTCGCTCTTGCGAATTCGTCCCGTCTCTCGCCACCGTAGCATAAGTTAGTGATCCATCGAACGTCATCGTAGCCACTCCTTTTCGTCGCGCTTTCGACATAGTTTTCACAAGTTTCGCAATTAAAATCGTCTCGAACTACTGCGTTCACAAGTTTTCGTGTTATTAATACAAAATAGTATTACATTTTCAGAATTTTTGAAGGAGTTTTCTCTTCTATTTGTGCATCCCAGCTTGCTCTACTGAGTCAGAGGACATTTTAAGTAGGTATAGCTGCAATATTTCAGACAGACGCGCCGCTCTCAATGCAAAAATGGATGGGCTCGCATCTTAGCCAGCACAAACCATTAAGTTTTGTAGTACAAAATAAGTTTTTCGATTTAATAGTTTTTTTTTTTTTCTTAAAAGATTGAAAAGAAGAAGATTGAAAAGAATCTTTTGTTTTGAACTATGTACTGACGGCATTTTATTTTTTAGTTTTTAGTTTTGTGAAGCGGTTAAAACGAATACCAACATCACAAGGCTACTGCTTCATTCTTTAGCTGCATTATAATATTTCTAGCAGAGGCAATGTCCTAACGCAACGCAGTTGACTCATCCGATGTTTCACAAGCCAAAAGTTAGAAAAACGGTACGACTTTGTTGGATTACAGGCGTAAAAGTTTGTAATATTCGTCAATCAAAAGTATGACATGCTCCTATGAGTTGCAAGTCGCGATATATATAACTTCAAACTAAATTTTCCCCCTATAAAGCAATATAAGTTTAGGTGGCACCATCTGTCGAACTGCATAGCTTACACTAGAAGCCAAGAGCGTGCATCGATTACCGGCAGAGCAGCGGCAAAGGGCCGGCACGGGAACGATGATGGCAGATGACTTCATAACCCTAGAACTTCTAAAATAATAGCTTGAGTTTAGAAATGTTTGTGCCTACCGATACCGACAGCAACGGTCTTACATGTCACTGTGTGTTTAGTGTTTCGCGATTAGTGTTGCGCTGTGTAAGAAATACCAGAATCTACATTTCAAATCCCAAATCTCTAGCTGTTATAGTTTCCTAGATCTCAACGTTCATACAGATGGACATGGCTAGATCGACTCGGTTCTTGATCCTGATCGAGAATGTATATACTTTAAACGGTCGGAAACGCTTCCTTCTTCCCATTATATAATTTTCAACGATTACAATATTCGAGTAACGGGTATAAAAATACGACATTTGAACAAAAATGAAGTCAAATCTATTGATCAATGATTTTTTAATGGTAGGGAAAAGCTTTTTTTTCTTTTATTTATTACTGCGAATGAACAAGATAAACCAGTTTTTGTAAAATTTGATATTTTATTATAGAGTGTCTCAAATTTTTGCATTTTTTTTTCTTCCAAATCTTTCCAGTTGGCACCTAATCTTTGTTCAAACAGGTTTGTTTAAAACACAGTACTTAAGAATTATTGTAAGTCTTAGACTTAATTAGATGTAAAACGAGTCATATAGGTATTTGTCAATAATCCGTAGGCGTTACTAAAATTAATGCGAGTTTTTGAATGTCGTTCCATTTTGATTGTCAACGCGTCAAGCCATTAAGTCGAAAGAAATCTTCATTTGTTGTGGAAAACAAGGCATTAGACTGCTTAAATCGACGTCACTGAGTATGTTTGACTTGAATTTATGATTATAATAAAAACATTTAAAATGTTTGACTTTCGCCGTGCCGATAGATATAGAAATAATATATACATACCGCCGAATAGCTTGGTCATAAAAGAGTTTCGATTTTTGAGCTTTAGAGTGAACATTTTAAAATTAACCTAATTCTAAAAATCTATTGCTTTAATAGATTTATTTTATATATATTTTAGCACATTTTTATTTTTGCCTTTGACTACTAATGTTAATGACGTGAACCAGAAATTTAAGCCGCTTAAAATAAATCAACGTTATAAATGTTGCTTTACTCAAAATTTTTAATTCACTATATTATATAAACGCGAACTAAGCCAGAGGACCCCCAATTAGAGTTTGACTTGCTGTGAAAAGTACTTGCAGTCTCTGAGATCCAATTTTCAGTTACATATTCCTTTTTGTCAAAGTTAAAAGAACTTAAAAGATTGATTAAAGTTATTCTCAAAGAAATACCTTTTCCCATTACAACCATTAAAGTGTCCCTTGCATTAGCTACTACAAATGTAAATTGAAAGTTATTTTGATATACCAATCAGCTATTTAAGAGCCAAAACAATTTTTGCATATGCTGTATAGCGTTTTGCAGAATGAATTTTAAGCCACAATTGTAAGCTACTTTAAAATACCAATCAGCTATATCAAAATAATTATTACAAAGTTAACATTTGTTTTGGCGTTATTTAAAAACAAGAAAGGAAGCAAACTTCGGCAAGAAGAAGTTCATATACCCTTGCAGCTATTGCAAAAATTAAATATTTTTTAAAACATTAAAATTATGATGATTTGCAGCTCAATTATTATATAGTTATTTTATATATTTTTATTATTCCTATGGGAGCTATATGATATACTCGTCCGATTTTGATTAAATTTAAACCGTAATTCAGAAATATTTAACCATTACTATATGTCGAAGAACTAATAGAAAAATTTAAAAACAGCAAAGTTATAATTTTTTAAATATTTTTTTCCGATTGTTCCTATGGGAGCTATATAATATAGTTGTCCGATTTTGATGAAATTTAAACCGTAATTCTGAAATAGTTAACTATTACTATATGTCGAAGTACTAATAGAAAAATTAAAAAACAGCAAAGTTATAATTTTTTTTGTATTTGTTTTGCGATTGTTCCTATGGGAGCTATATGATATAGTCGTCCGATCCGGCTCGTTCCGACTTATATACTACCTGCAATAGAAAGACAACTTTTGGAAAAGTTTCATTCGGATAGCTTTAAAACTGAGAGACTAGTTTGCGTAGAAAACGTAAAATATAAATATTTACATTTATTTACAACTAAAATGGTTTTTTTTTCTAATATACGTGTTGTTTATATATAAATGGATTGGTAGCGCTTGTTACGGAACTGCATCTTTCCCGGAGGGCAGCGCCGGCTAGCCACGGAGTCTCAGGGCGGAGTACCCCTATGCCCTGCAGTCCGAACAATCGATTCCGACTCATCGGACGTCTCACGTCACTAACTTGACGATTTACCATCTCTATCACAAATCAAAACAAAACAAAGTTATATTTACATCAAAAAACTAAGACAATTGGACGAAATTGGTGGCTTCGATGTCCTTGCCGCGACGCACCCACCCTTCCTTGGGTGCCCCAAGAACGGTATTGGAGGCACGCCCCATCTCCAGCAGACCGGAGTCTATTCCTGGTGGATTAGGATCGGCTCATCTCCCCGCCCAAGGTAACTCACACAACCATCTTGGTAGCTTGTTTACATTTATTTTTGGCAAGATTAATTATAGAATACATACAAATTTAATTCCTACTCATGATCTTCTCTTTTTATTAGCAACACTTAAGGCCGAACTCAGACCGTCGCCTAGATGAGAAGTGGTCAAAGCGATAATGGAAGGGACATTTTTGGACGCTTAAGATTACAAGTGTTTGGGCAAAAACGCCACTGATGCAAATTACACGGCACCAAATTGGAGGCGTTTGTCAACCGGGTCACCTAATCCTGAGGAGCTCCAAGGGAAAAGAAAGGACATGCTAATATGGTAAGTATGCTAAATTAATCCCTTAATTCATTAAATTTCGCGACCCAATTTAAACGTAGTTGGACGCGCGGCTGAAGTGCGGAATTAATGCCTCTAATTCCAGATTAGATTTCACAGTGAGTGCTTTGAAACGATTCTTTGACTGCCTGATTTCACAAATTAATAACTAAAACTAATTCATTCCAGAGTTCAAAATTGGTCGTTGTCGAAGCTGCGACCAGAAGAAGAGACCGCTAGCGGCGAAAGCCGGGTCTGCACGGAGCCAAGTGGTCCGGAGAATTCACACAGCGTCTGCGCCAGAGGACCCGGAGGCAGTGCGTCGGTGGTCCCAGGGATGACCAGGTGGTTCCCGGAACGGACTCACGCCGGGAATCTCCGTATGTGGCTGACGCGAAAGATCGCTGATGCTGCTGCGCTGATGATGCTGCGGCTGGTGCTGCTGCGGCTGGGGCTGCTGCGGCTGGTGCTGCTGCGCTGATGCTGCTGCGGCCGATGCCGATAATCGCTGCCGCTTCTGAAGCTGATCGCTGCTGCTGGTGGACGACGTGGTCTTCACGACCAGGTTAGGTCCGCCTGGTAAGTGTTGACCCTCCCGAATCCTCTAAATTTCCGGGGCCCTTTAGATAGGGTTCCCGGCGGCTTCAATATTTAAAAAAAAACACTGTCATTTACAAGTTTAGGAATAATAAATAACTACTCACTTTGAGTTATCTAAACACTAATTTTCGTCTCAATTTAGTTCCCGACCGTTCACCTACGACTTCTTGCAGCAACTAAAGCAAAACCCTGACCTACACCAAAGTCGTTCGCCATTTTCCCTCCCGCTCTCTCAATATGGGTCAGCGAACGTATTCAAGGCTATTTAACCCACTTAACGAGCGAACCGGGCTAAATTTAAATAGCTAGATCCTCTCCCGCTATCAATAGTCGGTGTCACCACCGAATCTTATCGATAGCGGGACCTGCTGACGTGTCGGTTGTTTTGGTATTTTCCCGACGGCTTCAACTGAAAATGCAACACGCTCTATTATAAATGTTGGTGTGCTCTACGTAATGCCAGTCTGAAAAAAAATGAAAGTTAAAAAAACCACACTTTAAAAAATGTATTTTTAAATTTTGGCAATAAACCTTCTAAAGTACCCATTTCCATCAAACCTGTAACGAACTGATTTTCTTTATTATCTGCTCGCTACGAATGTCGTGCGGCTAGCTCAGAAGATGTAAGTGTTCGTCCCACCAAATTTATATATACGTGAAAACACACAGAAAGATTGGGAGTATGCAGTGATCTTTTATTCGCCGACTTGACCCTCGGCCGGGGTGGTGTAATGGTTATGTAGAATTACGTCCTGCCGTCGTCTCCTTCCCACGTTGAACGTCTCGCTGGATCGTGCCGGCTGCGAAGTGGTGTCTTCCTCGCCGGTTTCGCTTGCGATGTCTTCTGCCACCCTTGGCTCGGCGGGTTTACAGGGACTAGGGATGCGTCACCGTTCCCAGACTAGGGTGAACAGGCACTGTGCCCTCAAGGCGTACGCCTTTCGCAGCCGCAGCCTCCTGTCCCTTGCTCTGTCCCGGCCGGTCGCACCGGACGTCGGCTCAGTTTCTACTTGAAACTGGCTCAGTTCAGTCGTACGCCGGAAGCCGCCAACGCAGTCCCTGGGTCAAACGCCAGGTTCTAGACGAACGCTTCCACCCTACCCTCTCTGCCGCAGGCTTAAGAATTCGAAGTATGGGCTGCTCGCTCGACGCTCGTTTTCGTCATCCTGGGGTCCCCGTTGTCCTTCTTCTACCTCCAGCTATCTCGACCAGCTCCGCTCCTTGTTGGCGACTCGGTAAGCTGCCGTTCTGGGACTCTAGCGGTGGACCGCTGTGCTCTCAAGGCATACGCCTTTCGAGACACCAGCTGAACAAACGCGCGTCCTTCCGGGCTATTCGCAGCAGGACTTTGTACAGTTTCTGCAGGACGATCAGGCATACGCCGGAGTTCGCCAATGCAGTCTTTGTAGGCAGGCTCCACACCTTGTTGGCGATTCGGTAAGCTGCCGTTCTGGGACTCTAGCGGCGGACCGCTGTGCTCTCAAGGCATACGCCTTTCGAGACACCAGCTGAGCAAACGCGCGTCCTTCCGGGCTAGTCGCACCAGGACCTTGTACAGCTCCTGCAGGACGATCAGGCATACGCCGGAGTTCGCCAATGCAGTCCTTGTAGGCAGGTAGCTAGTTCTAGACACTTTGCTTCTGAACCCACGGTTCTTCGTCGAAGGACTCTATTTGTTCACTTTGTCGGACACGCCGGGTGGGATGCCAAGCTCAAATCGCGACAGAAGTTGTAACAAAACGCCTGGACTTAGCCGTGTGATGCCGTAAGGATCTCAGCTACCTGTGACTCAATTCGGAGACTTTAGCTCTAAGTCCCGAACGTCTCGACGTAGCGATCTTGTTTCCTTTATGACTCCGCACGGCTTTACTTGCTCCTTCACGATGTTTCACTGGTTACTTGTTCACTTGATGACTGTTACTTGTTGACTTTGTAGAATCGACTGATCCAGCTTCCTGCGCTTTGCCGGTTTATATAGGCCTCCATTTACCGCTAGTTATCGGCGTCTCCTTGCCTCCTGGTCCAAAGTCCACGGTTTTACCGTTCGACCTTTCGCCCTCTGCGCCCGGCACCAATATCAGGGTCCAAAGTCCGGTGCCGTCCCGTTACTTCCTTCTGCACACGGCCCTTCGCCGCTCTCTTGTATCGCTGTCCCTCTCGGACTCTCCTTGGCCTTGTCTGGTGCTCAGTTCACCATTCTCTCTCTCCGCACTACCGTTACTACGGGCGAATTCGCCGCGTAACTGGTAACTGGTAGGCCACTGCTTGCATGCGCTTACTCTGCTTGCTTCTTAACTTGTGGGGAGTTATTCAACTCCTCACAAAACTTACCTCCTAAATCCTCGCAGCAAGACATGGGCAGGTTTTAAGCCGTCAACAAATCATATAAGTCAGGCAATTCCCCTTCCATTGTATCTAAAAAAATATTTTACAGTTATATGCAGGTAATTATGCAGACATATATGTTAGTATGTATGCCTTTGCCTGAAGCCCGGATGCAAAGAGAAATGCACAGCAACTTTTTTATTCAATAAGTGCAGCTGTAATATACAGACAGCGTACATACATATTTTGGTTTCTACGCTGACCATAAGCATAACAAACACACATACAGTATGTCAACTTATTGTTTGCAAAATGAATATCGTAACACAAATTCAACTTTAACATATTTTATATCCGAAACATACAGTAACTTGTGCATATTTTTGCCGGCCAGCAATGACACTCACACGCACAACACAAATGTTAAATTGTTACTAATACAATAACTTGTTTAGCTTAGTTATATTTACATTTTAATTTCACTTATTTATTTAGCTTAACAACACTATTCACTTTTTCTTTTCTGCACTCCACTTGCACAACGCACCGATCACCTTATCACAACTATTTCGAATGACCGAATTCGGGAGCTCGCTTTTCGTAACTGTCGTTCTCCCCCTAACTTATTGGACTTTTGTCGCCATCTTGCATTACACCCTCTTTTTCGACTTGAGAGATCTTTAAGGGAGCGTGGAATTGAAAAAATACCATTTTCCAACATCAAATGTACATTTTTCAATGGTTAAAATAAAAATCTCTTACAAATACCAAACTTAACGGTCGTTATCAAATTTAACCTTACGATTATTTTTTTGTGTGTAGTAAAAAAAACTTTGAAAAAGTTTAGGATTATTGGGGATACGGATTCAATTTTTAAAGTTTTAATGCTATGTTTAATGCACACAGCATTTTCGGATTTTAATCAAAAAATATTTCCTGTTGAGTACGAAAGTTAAATTTTCGGGTTTAAGCAGCACCAAGTTAGCACACTGCCCCAGAGTATAGAGTGCGCGATGTAGCCCGTAGTCGATCTGCATCCCGCATTTTTGAAATTTAAACAAAAAAATTTCCTGTTGAGTACGAAAGTTATGTTTTCGGATTTAAGGAGCACCAAATTAGCACAAAATTATGCGCTTACATTTTTTCAGCTAAATCCACCAGGAACAGACCTATAAAGGGCGGGGTGTAGCCCGGACTACACCCAAACCTGTGCCTGAGACACGAGACACCTCGCCATCGTCGCAAGCAGGTCAGAGTGATCTGGTCCGGGAGCGCCGGTGATGGTGGGGCCAGAAGAGGGCCGCCGATGAGCAGATGCCCAGGGGTCAAGGCTTCGCCGTCGATCGGGTCGCTGCTTAGAGCTCCGAGGGGCCTTGAGTTGAGCACGGCCTCCACGCTAGTGAGCAGAGTTCCGAGCTCCTCCGCGGTCAAGAGGTCTTGGCCTACCGTCCGAAGGAACAAGTGCTTTGCAGACTTCACACCTGCCTCCCATAGTCCGCCGAAGTGCGGTGCTCTGGGCGGTATGAACGCAAACTCGCATCCTTTTTTTGATGCGAATGTTTCGATACCGCCCCCTTGCTCCTCCAGACGGGCTCGGAACTCTCTCATGTGGCGATCTGCGCCGACGAAGTTGGTGGCGTTGTCGCACCACACCTTCTCCGGAATCCCGCGACGACTCACGAACCTTTGAAGTGCCAACAAGAACGCATCAGTGGTTAGGTCACACACTAGTTCTAAGTGGACCGCTTTGGACGCAAAACAGACGAACAAGGCCATGTACGACTTGTACGGTGGCTTACCACGGATACGATATGTTGTGCTGCCTTCAGCACAAAAATCAACGACCGAACTGTTCGTCGGCAGACTTCTTGAGCATTAACTAGCCATATTTTTTCGCGCAGACGACTTACGAGAGCTCGTGGGCCAGCGTGACAGTTCGTAACGTGCAGGTATGACACATAGGAGCTGACGAATTGTGAGCTTTTAGACAACAACGGGAATTTGGCTTCGTACGGGATAGGAGCATTCAATAACCGACCCGTTGTTCGTCAACTCGTAGCAATGTCGAGGAGCACCAATCTAATTTATTTTCCTGAAGATAAGGGTTTAATTTTTGAATATTCGTTGCTACCGGTTTATTTTTCCTAATTTTACTTATGTCGTCCCTGATTTCGTGAAATTGAACAACTTCGACAATTGTATCTAAAGCGAAATCCAGTTCTCTTGGCGAAATACTTTTCTCAAAGGGCTTCGACACCTTTCTGAAACTTTGAATAAAACGAAAAACCCAAACGAACACTCTCAGAAGCTTCAGGTGCGACGAAAAAGACTCTATTTTCTGAAGCACATAATTTGGCTCTGGGCTGACTACGAGAGCTATTGCCGATTTGCGTAGCTCCATCGACATTACATCAGCCGGCAGTTCGAAATGTTTATTTACAGGCCAATTATTTTCTGAGTCTAGCAAGAACGAAGGCCCACCGAACCAAATGGACGTTGTAAGCTCCTCTACGTCACATCCTCGGGACACTATGTCTGCTGGGTTGATATGTTCCTATTTCTTTGCCTTTTTGATTTTCTAATAGATAATATGCTGCACCTACTTTCTTATAATATTTAACGAATTTCAAATCAAGTACAAAAAAACTATCAAAATCTTACATCCCCCTCCTTGTGAAGCACACTGGTATTCACTATCAAATCGTAACTGGATCAGTTTAGATACCGGTCTGCGAATAGTTCTTACATCGACTTGGCGTACTTGTCCTTCCTTCGCTGGATATAGTTTAGTAATACGCCCTCTTTTCTATGTAATATGTGGTAAGGCAAGATCTGCAACAAGAACTACGTCGTCAAGTTAATTGGTTTTGGTGGATGTGTGCCACTTCTGTCGAAAATTTAGCTGAGGCAAATATTCTGTTATCCAACGTTTCCAAATTCTGTTTATCTTGCGCATGTGTGAGAGGAATCTCCGTAGGTGGTCGTGAATTCAGAATGTTCTCCGCATCAATTAATGCAGAACGAAGAGTTTCAACGCGTTATGTGACGTCTCGGAGAGTTTTGTTTAATACTTTCTTAACTATACCGATAAGACGTTCCCAACAACCACCAGCATTTGATTCTCTTTTGAGATGTCTCATTAATCAGAGCGTCAAAATCGAATAAGTCATTGTGGTCGTTCAACTCCCTTTTGGCAACAATAAAATTGGTTCCATTTTCGCTTCTGATTACTTCTGGGGTTTATAATGTTATCAAGCAGGTGAAAAAAATTGGTTTCCAGAACTTTTGACTACATTGATTTGTGATAACGACTGAATTTTGGCGGTCGTATGACAAATTCCGACAAGTAACGATCTTTAGGTTACTGAATAGGTGGAGACCGCTTGTACTGAAAGAAAAGTTGCCTCATCAATTCTGCCAGAAAGGTGTTTCAGAACATCTGTTGATTGTTGTATGGCAGCGTCAGCCGTGTTAAAGGAGGACGGTATCCATCTCCACTGTACGGCATTTGTAGTGGCTAAAATTTCAGAGATGCGATGTCCTACGAACGGCTTAAGCTTGCGAGAATTCGAATGAATCTTTGAGTCGCTCCAGAAGAGCGTCTTGTGTTTTTCTTTTAATAAAGTATTGAAAAGAACACCAAGAATGGTTGCTTGAAGTTCTAGTCTGGGAATAGAAAGAATTTAATTTCGGTTAATTTATCAGAAGATATTCGAAGGTATCCTACATCTGCGAATGCGGATTCGCAGGCATCTACTACAATATGAAGTTTAGTGTTACTGCTGACAATTTAAAGAGTCTCCGTTTCTCCAATCAAAACGTTGAACAGATTGATCTTCTGGACGAACTTTATTTATTTATTTTGGACAAACATCTCCCGGATGTCTGCAGCTACTCCGATTTTGTTCTGCCAAAATTGTACGGACACAAGTGACTAAAGCTCATCTGGGCCTTTAGGTAAGCAAGAATTAAAAGAAATTTTAACGATTTTGGCTGCTGCAACAAATACAATACGGAGTTTGCCCGGTTTGTGAACTGTTTTTTGTGGTAAATAACAAACGTGTTGATTATGAGTAGACATTTCTTAATTCGTAAGCCTTTTGGCATAGACTTTTCAATATATTTTATCATCTCCTGTTTATACTTTTTAGCGAACTCTTGATTTCTTTGCATTTTTTTCTATACTTACCAGTCATTTGTCTGCCATTCTAAAATTTTCTGCCAGCATAACATTTTCATTCCATAATAACCCAATTTTAAATTTATCTTGCATTTAATGTGTTGTTTCGCCCATTATATTCTTTGCTCTAGTGTTATCCACAGACTCTAGAGGAATAGTTCAGAAACGCCATAATCTTCAGCTGCAAAATATTCTTAGGCGAATTTGTAGAACTCATTTTTTTCTACGAGTTCAATATGAAAGAGTCTTGAGTTACTATAAGAGTCAATCTAATATTTCTCTTATGGCTACTGTCTGAGACCGATCTAACTCAATAATAATTTTTGATAGTACTAGATGTAGATTATATAAGCCGATTAAAATTACTGGCCTGGCGTTTATATCGGGAAATATTGTAGATGTCTATGTTGATTTTTTGAAAACGATTGTATTGGTAGGCCTAAGTTTTAATTGTCTGTACACCCTTTACATCATACTGGAAAGCAGTACAATGCCACTAATTTCCAGGCGAACTCTCTTAGACATTTCAGTACTCGTCTTATTGTCATACCACTGAAGGATGAGCGTTTTCAATACTAGTTTTTCAGCGACTTGCAATTCAACTAGGGCTATGACGCTTCCTTCGTCGAACATGGCAAAAGTCTCAAACTTACGCAGTGGTCCATGTAGGATCACGGGGACAATCTTGAACAGGTAATTATTTATATTTGTCTTCTCACCTGTACTGCAATCTTCTGGTTGGATTGCGGGTTGTGTCCTTTGATGTGTCGCTATAAACACTGGTTTTGTTGCTTTCTGATTTGATATTTTAAGAGATGCGTCGATTTATACCTTTGGCAGTGGTGCACAGTCATTTAGAAAATTCTATAAAAGGCATTTCGGTTTTAGTTGTGTCGACCCATTGTAACCATTCTACTTGTAAATTGGTTGGAAACTTAGCAATAAGTTCTTTCAACAAAATCTTATTATATAGGTGTTGTTACCAGTTCGATGACGTCAGATAATTGACTACTCTGCGTACATTTGTAGTAAATGAAACAATCTGTTCTAACTTTGTAAAATATATCTTAGGCAAATCGTTGATCTTGGCCATTTGGGTTCTAATTAATAACTGCTGCTACACCGCCCTTCGCCAATGAGGGATAATCCTGATTACATTAACCTTGAGAACACTGATCTTCCCAGAGATCTTACATTCTCCCGAACTCGCGTATGCCGGAGCGAGCGAATGCGTAGCTGATGCGCACTTGACTTGGATGCCTCGAATTAGAAGATACCTCTGACCCTTTTCGCGATTTCAAACCAAGAGGCTGGATGTTTGTTCGGTGTTAGACCGCTTTTCGTCTTCCTTCCTTTTTCCACGCATTTGGTATTTTCAGTATTATTCCCCGTTCCTGTATTTTCCTGTTTTAGTATGTTCTGCGTCTAGGCTAAATATCAGCTGGCATTTCCACTTGAGCTCTGAACTTAACTAAGAACTGATTTTTTCCACTTAATATTTATTATACATCATAAGATGTCCCTTAAAGCGCGTTCGTCATAAGTTGTACCTGCTCATGTATTTGATCAAACACAGTGCGAGCTCAGAACTAACCCAAGTCTTAGAAGATTGCTATACCTATACAGTGGTATACCAGAACAAACGCGGTATGGCAGCTGTGACGACAGACACTATATGCCTGAATTTCTTGCGTGTCACTTGTACAACGTCAGAGTACGGAAGTATTTAAACAACGACGGGGGTGTCTATATACTTGTTCAACGGCAAAAACTAGAAGTACAAAGGTGGCGTGGCTGCGTTTAATTTCTTTCGTCAAGTCTTTTCTCTCGACAGAGAGTGTGAAGCTATACGATGTCGTTCTCCGATTTTAATAGAATTAAAAGCGTAATTCTGAACCGTCAAATTTTTAATAAACCAAAAATAATTTTTAAAACAATTACAAAATAAGGAAATTACATTTTTTTAAAATTTTTATTTTTATTGTTCCCGGGGGAGCTTTATGTTATAGTCCTCCGATTTTGATAAAATTTAAACCTTAATTCTAAAATATTTAACGAAGAACTAAATAATAAATTAAAAAACAGCAGTTATAATTTTTTTGTATTTATTTTTTCGGTTGTTCCTATGGGAGCTATATGCTATAGTCGTTCAATCCGGCTCGTTTCGACTTATGTGCCTGCAATAGAAAGAACACTTTCGGGAAAGTTTCATACAGATAGCTTTAAAACTGAGAGACTAGTTTGCGTAGAAACGGACGGGCAGATGGACGCACTGACAAACGGACAAGGCTAGATCGACTATCCTAGTGATGCTGATCAAGTGTCTCCTTCAATGCGTTGCAAACTTTTAATACCCTCTGCAAGGGTATAAAAACCGGCGTCACGTCATCGTCTCGAAATCTGCCGGCAGAGAAAATGGTGTCCTTATTTTTTTTATTAATCTGTGCTTTTTGACAACTCTGATCTATCGTTGACCGAAAGAATGTGAAATAAAATTGCACATACATATGTATATTTTATAATTATCATTTATTCTGCGTTAAGCTTTACAATTAAAATGGAATTCAAAGTTTCTGCACTTAAAAAACTCCGACGTTTGCTTAAAATATATTGAAGCGCCATAGAGTAGGAAATATGTAGAGACACCATTTGGTCTGCAAGCGCCCTGCCCAGTCTCTGCTGAGAACCATGTTCGCTCTACTGAGCGGCAGAGCAAATGGTGTCTCTATATAGTTCTTACTCTATGCTAATAAGAGCGAACAGTTCAGCCATATAGTAAGAAATTAATAGACATCATATGCTCTGCACGATCCTCTGCTTAAAGCCATTTTCGAAGTTAAGTTAGCTTTTTCACACCACTTATCAGTTTTTGGTTCAAACTTGTAATTCGGTACCTCGGTTGCAAATGCAATGTTCGCACCGGCCCTTAAAAATGAGCAGTTCAGCTGCAGAAATGCACCGCGAAGCTAAGTACAAGTTCGAATTAAACCCTGAGAAAATTAAATTTTGCCTTTTTTAATCTACGTGGCATCACTGTCGTCTCTATAAAATTTCTTACCCTATTAAAGCGCTGAAAATGCCCTTTCATTTAATCTTAACGCACTGAATTCACAAAGGCAAGGGTATAATCTCGCTCACAAGCAAGAGCAGACGACAAAAACGCCTACAAGTGCAAAAGACTTTTAATTTTAATTTGGTTGAGCACAGACCGATTGTTATCTCTGACTCCTTGCGCAGTCGGTCCGTAATTAAGTTATTTTTAGACCTCAAAAAACGATAAACTGTTACCTGCGAGCACTGTTTTTTTTTGCCGTAGTAAAAATTCGTGTAAAAACTTTACTTAATTTTTAAAATTGTGTGCCGATCATGAAGTATTTCAAAAACAAAAATCAGCTGGCTTATTATTAAGGTTAAAAAGTGATTTAAAGTTCTTCCTTGCCGGATTTAGATTTATCACAAAGTATACTTTCGTTAAATTTAATTTTTGATGTTACAATTCTAACTCTCAAATAAATTATCTTGTTACAAATTTGATATACAAAGTTTACGTGGACAAATAAATTAGTTCAAATGGCAGATTACTTTGAAAATGTAATAAAGGATAGTTTGAAATAAAATCACTTCCATGTACAAAATTTGGGAGTTCTTAAAACCAGCAAATACGCTAGTGGTTTAAAATTAAATCTTTACCATGTACAAATATATGATAAAGAGACCTGTGGATATTTCGGAATATAAGTGCATTAAATAATTTTATAACCTTAAATGTAAGATCAATTATTCTTGTGGAATTCCTCCATGCATAACTTGCAGCTCCAAGAACCCTCTGGTGGAGTAACTAGCGGTGGTGACAGGCAATACATATGGTATCCGCGGTCACAATCGTCGCAAAATAATAACTGGTCGTCATTATCAGAGGTCCCGCATATGGAGCAGTACTTGCATTCGATGCATTGCCAGCGATAGCGTTTAACTGATATTATCATGTTGGCTGTGAACTGCAAACACGATGGATGACCCGAGCGACCGCAGTCCGAGCACGACACAAGCTCCTCGGGCATGTTGGTTTTTTTGTTTTCCTGGTGATCGCCCAGACAAAAGTCACAGTAGGGAGACGGTTGAGCTATGTCCCGATCAACGAGTGGTTTGACCTTAATCGGACCAACTCCCGTAGCAAACGCCATGGGAATTGTTGTTGCATGCACCGGCGAGGAGTTAGAGGCGTTGGGTGTTGCAACCAAACCTATGCTTATTCCAGCCATGGACGCTAGAGGCATTGAGTCATTGGAAGTTCCAGCATCGTTTGAAACCTTTTCGTAAGAAGTAGCTATAGGTGTTGCCACTATTTGTGTTGACTGCGAAGTGTCGTCATTGGTGGGAATGGGTGAAGCAGAGTTTGAGTGAGATGCATAGAGCCCTGTGGCGGCGGCAGCTGCTGCTGCTGCAGTGCTGGCTGCGTGTGCAACGGCTGCAGCAGCTGCGGCGGCAGCTGCAGATGTATTTCCACCACCACGACGTTTTCGGTCTGTTTCTCCTTCAATAGCGTTTCTCCGACGATTGCCTAATATTTAAATAAAGCACAACTTAGACTTTTCCCAGCTTAATGAATTTAACTTACCACCACCTTTACGCCCACGTTTTGGAGTACCCTCAACGTTTGCAATTGTACGTCGAGGTCTTGAACCTTTTTTGCGTTTACCCCTGCTGGTGTATGACTCGTCAAAATCGTTATCTGAATCAAAATCATCCTCATAATCATCGCCATGATGATAATGAGATGTGTCCATTTCCTCGTGAAACCATTCCTTCTCGGCGTTTGCATGTGAGTCCTTACTGTCATTGTCTCCCGAGGCTCCCATGGAGTTGCCATCGGTAGCAGCAGTCGCTAGAAATATTAGACATAAGCAATAAAAATAACACATGTTATCAGGACTGTTTGATAGCTTGTAAGACTTACGCCATTATTTATTTTTTGTCCGCTTACATATGTGTTCATAAACATATTAGAGTTGAACAAATTAATAAGGTTTTTATGTTTTGAATATTTCTACGCTCCTGGTATAGGCATTCAAATTTATTCAATTTAACTTTTATACTTAAAAAATCTGGTACAGTAATTCAAGTTAATTTTTATATGTACTAAGTATCGGTTCTTGCTTTCCCATGTAAAAGTTCTGCCACCTGAGATGAATTCTTGACTACTATATGATATCTACCCCATGTATCGGGTTTTGTCGATTGATTCTGCGTCTTGTCTGTCAGCTGACAAAATTAACTTTTACATTTGGTTTGATATCCTGCGTCCAACGGTTTTGACATAGTAGGGCAATCGGTCCTACTGTACAGCTCCAAAAGCGGCATTACTCTCTTTTGCTGATTTATTTCGCTTTATCGGTGATCTAAAATATATTACAAATAAGCAGCACTATCTCGTTCAACTTACCAAGGTTTGAATTGCCGATCATAAGTTCATCAACATAATCTATTATTGCGCCTTTATAAAAGCAGGGCTCGCTTGCTCACGCTGTGGAGTCTTTTTGTTGCAAAAACTCGTCTAGCTTCAGATGCCACATTCAACAAGATTGTTTGAGTCCGTACAAGAATTTTTTTAACTTCAAGACACGTTTATTGCGAAGCTTTAATCGTTTCATCGGATTAATCTAGACTTATTCAATTAGATCTCCCTTCAGGTATGCTATAGACACGTATTGTTGGAGGAATAGCTCGCTGGTTCTGCCATAATTATTGTAGTACATTAAGTCACTGGTGAAAATGCTGATAGTTGTTTACACCGTACTCTCGACCGCACCCTTTATAATTTAAACCACAAGTTATCAACGCAACGAAGGAGGCGTTTTCAACCCTATAAAATATATATTATTGATCAGCCATATTGGGAGGTGATCTTGTCATACCCGGCCGTCTGCCTCCCAATTTTAGAGCTAAAATTTTTTTAAAAGTACAACTATATCATATAGCTCCCATAGGAACAATCAGAAAATCAAGTTGCAATAAATTGGACGACGGCCACCACTCTTATGTTGTCGTTGGTCTTGAAAAGTGTGTATGTTGTGTTGACCTGCACACAACCATGTTTTTGTTGTATTTATCTCATCTTTAGTTTTTTTAATTATGTTTATCAAGTCGCAATTTTTATCCCCGTAATCGCCTTCTGTAATGTAAATGGTTAAACATGTTTTTCGCGAATGGATCTGGGCTCATAGCCTGTCAGATTACTTGTAAGAGTCACGGCACAAAATTAGAAGAGTTATACAATTTTAAAAACAGAAGGGAATAGCTTTATTTTAACGGCTACATATATATGTAGCTTCTTGCATGCTTAATTTTTTGTACATAAAGCGCTTTAACAAAATTAATAGGCTTTATATATATTGTGCTGCAAAAAAAAAATCTGATACTATCGATTCTTTTGGTTTCGGGACAACATCAATTTCTTTTTATAAGGATCGATGGAATTTATTTGCGCACTCAGCGCTTGTATTTAAATCACTAGTTGTAGGGCGAGAGCGGGAGCCAATAAAGCTTTCGTCTGTTCGCTCTTGCGAATTCGTCCCGTCTCTCGCCACCGTAGCATAAGTTAGTGATCCATCGAACGTCATCGTAGCCACTCCTTTTCGTCGCGCTTTCGACATAGTTTTCACAAGTTTCGCAATTAAAATCGCCTCGAACTACTGCGTTCACAAGTTTTCGTGTTATTAATACAAAATAGTATTACATTTTCAGAATTTTTGAAGGAGTTTTCTCTTCTATTTGTGCATCCCAGCTTGCTCTACTGAGTCAGAGGACATTTTAAGTAGGTATAGCTGCAATATTTCAGACAGACGCGCCGCTCTCAATGCAAAAATGGATGGGCTCGCATCTTAGCCAGCACAAACCATTAAGTTTTGTAGTACAAAATAAGTTTTTCGATTTAATAGTTTTTTTTTTTTCTTAAAAGATTGAAAAGAAGAAGATTGAAAAGAATCTTTTGTTTTGAACTATGTACTGACGGCATTTTATTTTTTAGTTTTTAGTTTTGTGAAGCGGTTAAAACAAATACCAACATCACAAGGCTACTGCTTCATTCTTTAGCTGCATTATAATATTTCTAGCAGAGGCAATGTCCCAACGCAACGCAGTTGACTCATCCGATGTTTCACAAGCCAAAAGTTAGAAAAACGGTACGACTTTGTTGGATTACAGGCGTAAAAGTTTGTAAAATTCGTCAATCAAAAGTATGACATGTTCCTATGAGTTGCAAGTCGCGATATATATAACTTCAAACTAAATTTTCCCCCTATAAAGCAATATAAGTTTAGGTGGCACCATCTGTCGAACTGCATAGATTACCGGCAGAGCAGCGGCAAAGGGCCGGCACGGGAACTATGATGGCAGATGACTTCATAACCCTAGAACTTCTAAAATAATAGCTTGAGTTTAGAAATGTTTGTGCCTACCGATACCGACAGCAACGGTCTTACATGTCACAGTGTGTTTAGTGTTTCGCGATTAGTGTTGCGCTGCGTAAGAAATACCAGAATCTACATTTCAAATCCCAAATCTCTAGCTGTTATAGTTTCCTAGATCTCAACGTTCATACAGATGGACATGGCTAGATCGACTCGGTTCTTGATCCTGATCAAGAATGTATATACTTTAAACGGTCGGAAACGCTTCCTTCTTCCCATTATATAATTTGCAACGATTACAATATTCGAGTAACGGGTATAAAAATACGACATTTGAACAAAAATGAAGTCAAATCTATTGATCAATGATTTGTTAATGGTAGGGAAAAGCTTTTTTTTCTTTTATTTATTACTGCGAATGAACAAGATAAACCAGTTTTTGTAAAATTTGATATTTTATTATAGAGTGTCTCAAATTTTTGCATTTTTTTTTCTTCCAAATCTTTCCAGTTGGCACCTAATCTTTGTTCAAACAGGTTTGTTTAAAACACAGTACTTAAGAATTATTGTAAGTCTTAGACTTAATTAGATGTAAAACGAGTCATATAGGTATTTGTCAATAATCCGTAGGCGTTACTAAAATTAATGCGAGTTTTTGAATGTCGTTCCATTTTGATTGTCAACGCGTCAAGCCATTAAGTCGAAAGAAATCTTCATTTGTTGTGGAAAACAAGGCATTAGACTGCTTAAATCGACGTCACTGAGTATGTTTGACTTGAATTTATGATTATAATAAAAACATTTAAAATGCTTGACTTTCGGCGTGCCGATAGATATAGAAATAATATATACATACCGCCGAATAGCTTGGTCATAAAAGAGTTTCGATTTTTGAGCTTTAGAGTGAACATTTTAAAATTAACCTAATTCTAAAAATCTATTGCTTTAATAGATTTATTTTATATATATTTTAGCACATTTTTATTTTTGCCTTTGACTACTAATGTTAATGACGTGAACCAGAAATTTAAGCCGCTTAAAATAAATCAACGTTATAAATGTTGCTTTACTCAAAATTTTTAATTCACTATATTATATAAACGCGAACTAAGCCAGAGGACCCCCCAATTAGAGTTTGACTTGCTGTGAAAAGTACTTGCAGTCTCTGAGATCCAATTTCCAATTTTTGTCAAAGTTAAAAGAACTTAAAAGATTGATTAAAGTTATTCTCAAAGAAATACCTTTTCCCATTACAACCATTAAAGTGTCCCTTGCATTAGCTACTACAAATGTAAATTGAAAGTTATTTTGATATACCAATCAGCTATTTAAGAGCCAAAACAATTTTTGCATATGCTGTATAGCGTTTTGCAGAATGAATTTTCAGCCACAATTGTAAGCTACTTTAAAACACCAATCAGCTATATCAAAATAATTATTACAAAGTTAACATTTGTTTTGGCGTTATTTAAAAACAAGAAAGGAAGCAAACTTCGGCAAAAGGAAGTTCATATACCCTTGCAGCTATTGCAAAAATTAAATATTTTTTAAAACATTAAAATTATGATGATTTGCAGCTCAATTATTATATAGTTATTTTATATATTTTTATTATTCCTATGGGAGCTATATGATATACTCGTCCGATTTTGATTAAATTTAAACCGTAATTCAGAAATATTTAACCATTACTATATGTCGAAGAACTAATAGAAAAATTTAAAAACAGCAAAGTTATAATTTTTTTAATATTTTTTTCCGATTGTTCCTATGGGAGCTATATAATATAGTTGTCCGATTTTGATGAAATTTAAACCGTAATTCTGAAATAGTTAACTATTACTATATGTCGAAGAACTAATAGAAAAATTAAAAAACAGCAAAGTTATAATTTTTTTTGTATTTGTTTTGCGATTGTTCCTATGGGAGCTATATGATATAGTCGTCCGATCCGGCTCGTTCCGACTTATATACTACCTACAATAGAAAGACAACTTTTGGAAAGGTTTCATTCAGATAGCTTTAAAACTGAGAGACTAGTTTGCGTAGAAACGGACGGACAGACGGTCATGGCTAGATCGACTCGCATAATGATGTTGATCAAGAATATATATACTTTATAGGGTCGGAGATGTCTCCTTCACTGCGTTGCAAACTTCTGACTGAAATTATAATACCCTCTGCAAGGGTATAAAAACACTTATCAACTTATCCAGGACGAAACAAAAATCGACCCTTATTTATAACCTTAATTTCAGTCAAAAGTTTGGAACGCATCAGAATCGATCTAGCAAGATTTTTAGTTTTAAAGCTACCTGCATGAATCTTTCCCACAAGTTGTCTTTCTATTGCAGGTAGTATATACAGTGGCTCGCAGCTTATTTCGTGCAGAGGTACAACTAAACTTTAAAGAAGTTTATCTGATAAACTATTCGAGATATCAAACATGTTTTAACGCAGCTTTGTTATATTTTTAAATATCTTAAGGCACTTACTGCGTTAAAACTCGGATTTCCAATAAATATCGGCTTACATTAAAAAAACAATTTCGATGTCACAGCTTATTTCGTGCAAGAACTTTAGGAATATTTTTTCTATAAAATAACATTTAAAAACTTTATTTATTTAGTCAAATGCTTATTCATTTTGCGTAACAAAATTGGATATCAGATATTTTGTATGATGTATGTTTATATGTAAATATTTAGTATGTCACTTTCACCGACCTTTTTCCGGAACCAATTAATTTTCCTAAATTCTTGGTATGCAATCCTTATTCATTTCTTTCGATTGGTGTATTACTCGTTACGATCGGACCACCACAGCAGATTTTCACTTCTACGGCTATATATAATAGCCTACATTAGTGTTGTCCATAGTAATAAAAGGGTTTTTAACTGTAAATGAAGTTTTGCAGTTTAAAACCTTTTTTTTAGCTTAGACCTGAGTAATTTAAACCACTACAACTAGACTAAGCTCGTTTTTGATTATTTTTTTGTTTTTGTTGCTGCCATAAGTGCCATAGACTTATTTGGCCGTCCTCGCATACATGGAAATCGCCAAGCTATTTATTTGGTTACCGGTCGATTGTACAAATGATTATTTACATTTTTTTAAAGTAATTTGTAATTTGGTATGAGTTTGCTGGTTCGTATTTGAAGAAATGGTAAATGTCGTGGTATTTTTCCAGTCTTGGGTACAACTGGGTTTCCAGTCCAGAGCTGTATTTGGAACAGCTGAATATGATGTTCTATGCGTTATCAAACTGTGCAACTGTCACATATGTTATTGTTTACTACGTGTATTTTTTTAAATTAAAATTATCAAAAACGTAACCACTCATTAATCAGTTTATGATGCTAACAGTTCGCCTGATAGAGACGATAAAATCTTCTTCGTATAGAAACTGGCTGTGAAATTTAAGCTATGTACTGAAAACGCTGCGCTTAAATAGCAATCTGTTACTGATCCGTCTGTGAATATGATGTCAAAATCCCTATTCCTAAGAGATCTCATTTTTTCCTTAATTATTTTTAAGATAATAACTGTATTCATCACTTTTCTTTTTGGCTGTTCCCTTAAAGAATTCAAGGTCTACCCTAATTTTACTATTATGGACAGGTAATCGCAGGTATAAACTTGATCTAGGATATGTTTAAAGTGTTTATACGACTTGGCCCAACTAGTATTAATACAAGTGTATCCTTGGCAACACGTGGGTAAAATCTTTTATCAATTCTTTTGCCGTTTGAAAACAAATTCTGTATAAAATCGGTACCGGCCGAGTACGCGTCTAAGACTGAAATTTGTGTGTACTTTTATTTTGTCCATAGATGTTTTTGACATTTTGCTAAATTAAGAACATGCATATTCTAGCCTACTTCTGGCAAACGCTTTGTAAAGAAGAAGCCCTGTCCACTAAGAAATTTTAAAATGCACATTTTTTGTTTGCTGATAAGATTGCATTTTTGATGTGTGCGCTTAGAGAATTATTAGCGTACTATTCGTCCTAGATATTTGATTTGGTCTACATCTCTGATTGAAATCCTCTTTATAGAACTTGAAGCAGTTGTTTGCGCAAATTAAATTAACGCTGCACTTAGCTAGATTAAAGGATAAGTTTAGCTCGCTACACTCTAATTCAAACTGTGTTATTTCTTCAAAAAGTATATTCCTTGCTCCTAAGAAGGTTGCATCGAAGCAAATCAGAAAGAAGTCGTCTGCATATTGAAACATTTCGCAGTTTTCGTCGATTCGGAAGGAAGTCAATTAACCAGGCAACATGGTGTTAATTGAAGTTAAGATTTTGGAGCTTGGTCTTTAAGACTCCTATATCGACACAGTCTGCTACTACCAGAAATCCTTCTGCTTTTAGGACTTGCACTTTGTCTATTAAATCATTTATGCACATAGATTTGGATGTGTTTTCTAAATGCAAAAGGTATACATATTGTCCTATAGTTACCAATAATTTATGAGTCTGCATTTTTTTTTGGAATTGGTAACACGTTTATCTCTCTCCAGCTTTCTGGTAGTTGGCCTGACACCCAAGCATTATTAATAGGTTGAAATAGTTAGGATTTATTTGCAGGAGAAATAAGTCAGCTAATTCAAAAAGTCTTCGAACATGAAAAAGCTTATGCCTGTATGGGTTGGGAGAGACTGCTATAGTAGTTAGTTTTATTTGTTTAAAGATACAATTTTTATACCCTTGCAGAGGGTATTATAATTTCAGTCTGAAGTTTGCAACGCAGTGAAGGAGACATCTCCGACCCTATAAAGTATATATATTCTTGATCAGCATCACTAGTAGAGTCGATCTTGCCATGTCCGTCTGTCCGTCCGTTTATACGCAAACTAGTCTCTCAGTTTTAAAGCTATCTGCATGAAACTTTCCCAAAAGTTGTCTTTCTATTGCAGGTAGTATATAAGTCGGAACGAGCCGAATCGGACGACTATAGCATATAGCTCCCATAGGGACAATAGGAAAAATAAATGAAAAAAATTATAACTTTGCTGTTTTTTAATTTTTTGTTTAGTTCTTCGACATTTAATAATGGTTAAATATTTCCGATTTACGGTTTGAATTTCATCAAAGTCGGACGACTATATCATATAGCTCCCATAGGAACAATCGGAAAATAAATGAAAAAAAAATATAACTTTTCTGTTTTTTAATTTTTTGTTTAGTTCTTATACATATAGCAATGGTTAAATATTTCAGAATTATGGTTTAAATTTTATCAAAATCGGACGTCTGTATCGTATAGCTCCCATAGAAATAATAAAAATATATAAAATAGCTATCAAATAATTGAGCTGCAAATCATCATAGCTTCAATGTTTTTAAACATATACGCAAGTAAATCATAATTTTAATGTTTTCAAAAATGTTTAATTCTTGCAATAGCTGCAAGGGTATATGAACTTCGGCTTGCCGAAGTTTGCTTTCTTTCTTGTTAATACTGTTCCAGATGTTTGGGCTTTCTGAGATTTCATTAACAAATGATTGGAAATTGGATTTTCTTTTTTTACTTAAGTAGTTTTGAAAAAGTAAAAACTTTAGAAAATATGAAACTTTTAAGGTTTCATTATTTTTTACCCATTTTTTTTACAAAAGTCGTTTGCCCACCCATTAAAAATAGATTTTTTGGAAAAAAAATTTTGTCTACCCCTTAAAAATATGATTTTATACCTTTTTTTCGGAAAAGGCTGGTTAAAAGCCGTCGGCAGATGATTTTTGTTAAAAAAAAATAATTTTTAAGAGGTGGGCAAACGATTTTTTTTTATTTCTTAAATTTTAGGAGGTGGGCAAACATGGGCTTTCTTCATTTTTGTCGAAAAAAGTCATTTTTAAGAAGTGGTAAAAACTTTTTAAGAATTAATTAATTAAAAAAAATCATTTGCCGAAGGATTTAAAGCAGCCTTTTCCGAAAAAAAACGTGCCCACCTCTTAAAATTAAGGATTTAAACAAAAATCGTAAGGTTGGTGTTTTCGGATCCAATAGCAACTTTGTCGTGGAGAATTTTTGAAGTATTTACTTCAGTGCTGAAATTGTTTTAACAATTTCAATCGGGAAATGATTGCTGTTGGTAATTTTAACTTTGGAGGAACTCCATGAGAAATCTAGTTTTAAATGCTTTTCGTGTTTTTGCTTACCTGCGCTCTCCGCAAGATGGAGGTCTCGGGTTACAGCAACGACAGAAGAGTGATGGTGATGTGGGTGCTGTTGATGGTGGGAGTGTTGAAGATGATTTTCGCGGTACTGAAATGCTCGGTAGCTCTGGTTCGGGTTAAGTAGATACTGACGCTTGGGCTTGCGCCAGCGGGACGATGGATATGTGTATATTTGGCCATGTCGGAATCCAGGCATACGCTGTTTTTTTTTCATAAAGAGTGAACAATGTGTCTGTGCCACCCCAGTCTGGGGGTCCAGGAATGGCATGCGAAGTCTCCGTTCAATGCACAGACGAGTGTTAAAATTCTCGCTGTTTTCAAGTATCTCCTTGTACTTCTCTTTGTCATTTAGAATATTTTGGATCTTCTCAAAATTTCCAATGTTTACTACCAAGGTTTTCTCAAATTCAGATTCGGAAGCCATGTTTCAGCTTCTAGAACGCCTTACCAATAATTAGCTAGGCCAATCGCTTTGTAACCCAAATTGTGAAGATAAAATGAAGAATAAATAAGACAGAAGCTTTACAAAAATCGAAAATCTACATTAAACTTCGGTAGAAATTTGTGGGACGCATCCATGACTAGAGCTGTGTTAATCGATATACCAAAAACGAGGGCTGCGAAGCAATAATGTTTTGTTTTGATAACAAACGATAGCGCTTCAGTTGAAGATTCTGTTTAATAGTCTTTTCAAACAGGGTGCGCATCATTTGTATGATGAACCAAAAGGCACATCAACGACATTCTCTTCTAATTCGCATCAACTTCGTATCATTCATTACTTAAGAGAAGAAGAAAAACACTTCAGCTAGGCTATGCTTATACATCCTTGCAGCTCTACACAAAAATAATTCTTTTTATATTAACTAAATTGCTTAAATAGCACCTATATGTTTTATTTCCGATTTTTATAAATTTGAGCACTTGAACATTTTATCAAATATCATACGGGGAGCAAACATTTGCACAACCAAGCAATAATTTTGTATAAATATTGTTCTGATTATTCCTATGGCAGCTTTATTATTTACTTGTCCAATATGGACCGTTATTATCCGTTCGTGATTTTGTTCTTGCTGAAATGGAAAGATAACTTTTGGGAAATATTTATTTCTCAAACAGCTCTAAAACGGACAGACAAGTTTGCGGAGAAGCTGAAAGTGAAACAGAAGGACGGACGGACAGACGGTTCAAAAACGTCTCCTTTACTGCGTTGCACACCATGACTGTAATTAATATACTGAAAACCCAGGTCCAATTGACGGATTCAGTTCCAGACCAGTCCCACAGGGCCTATCGAAGCGAAACGGTTAGGACATTTGATGGTTGGTGGACTGGTGTTCCCACAGAGCCACCGACCACCTTTCACCATCCACCTTCAACCATCCACTACCCATCAAAAGTCAGAGTGCAGAAGTTTTTAAGGGGGGCATTTCACTCTATCAAAATCATTTAGAAGAATTTTTTTCGGTCCTGTTTTTATTTTAATACTATGGATTAGTTGTTAAATTGTTATCTGGCTTACGGAAACAAAGATTGCCGCCATATGAATTAAAATTTATGCGCGCAAAGACCTTAGTGTTGCACCGAAAAAACATCGGCTAGAAACGTATGGTTAGGAACAAGTCCAACTCTAAGGAATAACCGGGTAAATTTTGGCACGGCAAAACATTAAGGACCATCTATGGGACAAGGCCATCAACAAAATAACGGACTATTCATACCTCTTCTGTAATAGACCAATCGTACTGAGCCCATCCAATTGGAACGGCTTCGAATTTTGACGGGTGTCTTTCAAGGAACGTAAGTTCCACCTTCAAGGAATTTGGCACGGCAAACCTTACGGACCATATGTGGGATTAGGCCATTAACAAAATAACAGACTATTCATACCTCTTCTGTGTTAGCCCAATCGTACTGGGCCCATCCAAGTGGAACGGCTTGGAATTTTTACAGGTGTCTTTCAACTTAAACTTTTTTATAGCTACTTTTTCCTACTGTTATTTGTTTAAGTGCTATGGAATAATGGATAAGAAATTTATCCGAACGTTTATATAATACCTGTGTACAAATTGCTGCCTAGGGAGCGCTAAGATCCCAGACTCACAAATCTCCTTCTTCTACGCGTTTCAATCAAAATCGATTTCTATTGCGCTGATAGTTTTTATTTAGTCCGATAAACACTCAGGCACTCGCTAATGCAAAAGCAGCTGATAGGCCTAAATAGAGTAAACAAACAAGACAGCTTATGTACAGCACACTAACAGCAACACCGAAATGTATCGATTTTTCCCAGGTCTGTCAAGCACATGTACCTCATCTGCTGCGGCAGAAAAGGCGCATTTGTTAATTTTGCTACACGGATAAATATTGTATAAATATCGGCAAGGAACGTTCGGCTAGGATCATTAATCCACCATCTAAGACTAATATCCTGTTCACAGAGTCCATCCGAAGGAAGCTGTTGAGGCCAGCGCCACCCTGTCCTCGACTTTTACGTAGCACTTCATTATATGAATATATTACTGCTGGCTGTATGGCGCTACATATAGCCGTTAGATATGAAAATAATGCTGTACTGGATTCGCGTGGGCGATGCGAGTCTTTTTCGGTGACTATTCCTTTCGGCCATGTGTTTCGTGGTAAGTTCTCGTCCACTATGAGGACGACGATGCCAGTCGTAAGGGGTGGCTGTTTGGCGAACCATTTTCCTCGGCGAGCAAAGTCGGATCAGGCACCGTTTCCAGTATAGCTGGGTCGATTGCCACGCACATCGAACCGAGAGATTGTTGTCGAAGATGGGCTTATGTCCGCTTGCTGATCCCAGCAGCAAATGGTTGGGTGTGATGGCTGTGTCATCGTTGATGTCCAGCGGTACAAATGTAAGGGCCTTGAGTTTATTATGTATTCGTTCTTCCAAAGCGCGCTTTGTAAAGTCGCTGTAGTGAACTTCATTGCTGGGCGTATAAGGCGCTTTCATGCTCTCCCCATGTGGGGCGCGGCTGGCGGGCTAAAGTTCTATTTTATTGTGTCGAACGATCACTACACTTCGTTAAAGCTAACCTTTAAAGCACCTCGCAGATCACCTTCCCGGTCGCTCTGAAGTTGGTGCCGTTGTCCGTGAGTATTTATCTAGGTAACCCGCGACGGTTGAAGAAGTTGCGGATACACATAACGCAGGCGAGGTGTCGAGGGCGTGGGCTATCTTCAGATGCACTGCTCTAACTGTGAGTTAGGTGAAAATTTCTCCCCATCGCTTCTCGCTTTTTCTGCCAACAGTTACGGAAATCGGCCCAAAGTAATCGATTCCTACGTAGGTTGATAAGCGGCGACTCTACCAATTTAAAGTTGAGCCATTTGAGCTTTGGGAAGGTATTATGATTTCTGAAGCGTTGGTAAGCGTAAGCGTGGTACATAATAAATGGCACGGATCCTATTGAAGCATGCCTCGTGCAAGGTGTGATGCATCTGACGATGATACCAATCGACAATGAGGTGTGTTATTTAATGGAAGTAATATTTGCCTTCGCTCGATAGAGCCTTTGCCAGTCGGAAAAGTATTCCGCGTTCACAATGGTGTCCAGTGGCGAAGTAGCAATGAAAAGCACCTGTTTTACTTCGATGTTGGTTGGGACTCCCAGGTCGTTACAGGTGGGCCACAGTGACTGCTCCTGAAGAAGGAACTCCGGGCCATCGAACCATCTTTGCATGGAAGGGAAACTTGATCTCTTAGTTGCGATGTCAGCAGGGTTTACCCAATTTCATTGGTTGACATTTGTGAGCTTAACCTTCTACTTGGTACTGCTGGAACTTGCACGGGTCCATTCGCATCCATTTGAGGACTGGTTTGGAATCCGTCCAGTAGTATTGCCGGCTAAATTTCGCACAAGTAACTGATGCTTGCAATTCTAAGGGCAACCTTAGTTTTGGCTGCTAGATGGCTAAGATAAACGGAGACGGGAGAGTTTATAGATAAACGCTAGGTCGTCCGTTCTTGACCTTCTCGGCTGTGGTGATTTCGACTATGAACCCCGCCTAATTCGATAAGCACAATCTTCGAGTTCTAAGCCCAGCTGCGAATGTAGAACCCTCCGGCGGCGTGAATATGACGAACTTGTGTGACGAGATCTGATACCTCCTTATCGTTGTTGCCGCTGTAGATGAAGTCGTCGACGTAATGGTAATTCTTCACTGCTTGTGTGGCGGCAGGGTATTGCTGTGGGAACCTGTCAGCGTTTCTGTCCCGTATAAAGTGTGCGATGCTCCCATCGCGTAGACGCTCGGATGTTGTAACTTGTCATCGTTGTCGTACCAAATGAAGCGCTGACCGTGGGCATCTCGAATTTGGTGTAACATCTCCGCTAAGTCTACGCAGATCGCAACCTTCCCGGTGCGAAATGAGATCAGTAGATCTACCAATGGGTTTAAGAGATCGGGATCGCTGTATATGAAATCGTTCAGGGATTATCCCTCTGACTGTGCCGCTGCGTCCCAAACTAGACGAACCCTAATAGGTTTGTTCGGGTTTGTAGTGATAAAGGTGAATACCATTCCCCTTGCTCTTCTAATATCTCGGCTGCATTTAGCTTACGTGCATATTTATTCCGAATGAGGTTTTCGATCTCTTTTTGAGTTTGAATCTTTAGTTCTGGTTCTCTAAGGAATTTCCGCTGAAGGCGCATTAGTCGCCTAAGGCGTTCGGGTAACTATCTGGAAGCGCTGTGTTCTCGCTCATTCACAGCAGTCCGAATTCAAATCTGCCCTTCTTTAATATAGATGTCGAGTTCATAATGAGTAGGGCGCGGGTACGTGCAGCGTCGTAAGGCAGTGTCGGCTTCGTAGGACCAACACTGATGGATATTAACGTATCATTCTGCGGGAGGGCTCTTGCGCGGAGGGATTTGCAACGTCCAGCCCAGCGAATACCTCCCGTATTCTAAGTGGCACGGCTTAATCACAGTTATAGATGGCCGCACGTTGGCATAAGAGGCTATTGGTAGTCCATTAAGATAAGGGAGTTTTATGGCGAGCTCCTCCATGTTGGTAGACTGCATCGGTAAAATTTAAACTTTTGACGCTGCGAACATTTCTCAGTCTAAATTTAGATCCGTTCTGCGTGTTAGAGACAAGTAACGTCGCTGTCCTAGAGGTTTCTTCGACACAAGTTGTATTGTCAGTCCACCAAGCAGAGTGGAGCTGCTGAAAAATATTTTCTTAGATCAGCGTTACTAATGATCCTTCGTCTAAGCAAAGGTATTTATTTGAGTAGTTTTATAATCTATTTTGATTGGTACGAGATGGAGTTTAGTTTGTTCCGCATGTCGATGGGCGTGGACGAGACCGCTTTCCAGATCGCGTGCTCTTTGCTGGCGCGGATTTTCGACCTGGTGAGGTTGCTCTTCGTCCTTCTTGACAAGCACTGGCGTCGGTGCTTGTTGAGGCAGTTGGGGCACAAGTGAATGTTGCGGGAAACGTCCCACCTTTCCGCCGTGTTCATAGCGGAGAAGTCTGGACAGATTTGGATTTTTTGGTCTCCCGAGTCGTATATTACGCACTTCCCTGTAACGAGAGGTGGTTCCGCACTTGCCGAATGGTAATTTAGGCGC